GTGTCTGGTGGTCCAGTGGAGGGGGAGCTGGGAAGCAGCCGGGACCCTGGGAATTCCCTCCCTTCCACTCCTGCCCCCAGGGTCTTTGGCAACCAACTTCTGAGAAGCCAGGGAGTAAGTGCAGCTTCCCCAGGTTGCCTGGAACTGTTGTGGTCAAGTCAATTGCTTATAAATCAAATCACGTTAAATGGATTAGTGGCTATTTACAGTACTAGAAACCAGAAGAACCTCTGGTAAGGCAAAAGATGCAAGGCGATCCTTGGAATGTACTGGAAGTTTGTGTTTTGGGTTTGACCTGACAGTGATGGGCTACGTTTCTGGAGCACAGACAGGGTGCCAGGCCCGTGAGATGGAGAAGAGGGTACAAGGGGCTACCCTGAGGATTATTCAGGCTGCAGGGGGAGGGGGGGAGGAGTGTCCCAAGGAGGAACGCCCCCCATGGGCAGTCGAAGCAGAGCTCAGGACTGGGGAGGGCTTCACATCTGCTTGGGATGGAGGGGGAGACGCTCAGATGGGTTTGGAGCAGTGGCTGGGAAGGGTATGCCAGGCTGAAGGAAGTAAACCAGGAAAGGCTCACGTGGAGGTGGGGAATCTTGGGGCAGAGTAGACCAGGACTGTCTGTGGGGACAGCAGAGCCCCTTCCCACCTCCTGCCGATTCCGCCCTTCATTTTCCCTTCCACAGCCTCCTTCCAGGTCCCTGCTGAGCTGTCTTGGGGCTGGGGCCGTGGACCCCTGGGCCTATAATGAAACTTAGAGGCTCCTGGACAACCTTGGCTCTGCCCACAATGGGCAAGGGGCCCAGGACTTCTGTTGCCAAGGCTGATGACTCCAAGCTGAGGACAAACATGAGTGTGGGCATCGTGACTAGCTGGTTGGCACACAGGAGCGAGGGTTAAAGTCCAGGACCACGGATCTGGCCCCTGCCCTGGGCTGCTCTCTTGGACATTCTGGGCCTCCTGACACTGGGGTGCTGGGTGAGAGGGTGCAGGCCCCAATACTGGAGAGACAGCTGCAGGCAAAGGAGGCTGCTGTGGAAAGAGCCTCAACTTTGGAGTCAGCTGGGTTTGGTTTAGAATCACTGTGCCGCCCTGGCTGGGAGGCCTTAAGTCACTTAACCTCACTCAGCCCATCTTATCTCTAAAAGGAGACTCACAGTGTGTGGGTGCCGGGGGGCCTGTGCGGTCACTGTGTGTCAACAGGGACTCCTTCACCCTGTTAGTTGGTGCCCATGGTCCTGCAGTAACCCAGGCCCTGTCTCTACCCACCCCCCTGGGCAGAAAGGCTCCAGGGCTCTGAGGGAGGCTCAGGTGTGTGTCCTCCCCAGTCTCCCAGTGCAGTCACGTGGCTGATTGAATGGAGAGTCAACAGGGCCCAAGTGGTGGAGGGAGGGAGGCTGTCTGGGCTGGGATGGCCGTGGAGGCGAGTCCCACCCATTCTTTTCCTTCCTCATTGCCAGGCCTCTCAGTGCCTTCCTTCCTGCCAGCTTAGGTGCCCTGGAATATTTCTGGTAGGGTCACCCCACTTAGGGAAGGGGTGCTGGGATGATGGGCTGTGGGGGGACAAGGGTCTGGATGGTCTTATGAGCTCTGCCACCAACCCCAGGGATGGGGGGCTGGCAGCAGCAGCCCTCCACTGCAGGGATTCAGGCTGTCATCTCCATAGCAACAGGTATCCCCAGCCAAGGGATCGATCTCTTAAAGGCACAGTGCAGGAGCCAGCCTGCTGCTGCCAGGAGCATGTTCTCTTTGAGGTGCTTGGGGGACAGGCCACTCCCATTTTGCGGATGAAGAAACTGAGGCACAGAGAGTTAAATCAGAGATCCACAACGTGGCGACTGGCAGAGTCAGGCCTTGGGTCCTAGGCTCTCAGCTGGGCAGTCCGAAATAACACACAGGCCAGGAGGGCCAGGGCAGTTTATGCTCCGGCTGAGACTGGGTCAGGGTTTAGACAGACTAGAGGCCTGCCCGGGCCACGGTGCTGGGGCAGGTGGCTGGGATCTGGCTACAGCTGGGGGACAAGAGTCACCTTCCTCCCAGGGGTCAGAGGGCTTTGAGGGGCTGGAATGGGAGGGCGGGGGAAGGGGTGCCGGGGGCCTCAGGCCCTGAGTGCCCGCTCGCCTTCTCCCCGCAGCAGTACTTCATCCTCCTCATCATCACGGATGGTGTCATCAGTGACATGGAGGAGACACGGCACGCCGTGGTGCAGGCTTCCAAGCTGCCCATGTCCATCATCATCGTGGGCGTGGGCAATGCCGACTTCGCCGCCATGGAGTTCCTGGACGGGGACAGCCGCACGCTGCGCTCCCACACCGGGGAGGAGGCAGCCCGGGATATCGTGCAGTTCGTGCCCTTCCGAGAGTTCCGCAACGTGAGTGTGGGCCGGGCTGGGGGCGTCACGGGGCCCCAGGGGCCAGAGGAATAGTCAAGGATGGAGGTCTTGGGACTGTCCCCCCAGTCCGAGGCTCCTCAGCTCCAGCGACTGCATACTTCCCGAGGGCCTGTTATGTGCCCGGCACCGTGCCAGGCCCTGCCCCCAGACGCGACCGTGACAGTGTGAGCACTGTCTTCAGCAAGCTGATGGAACACGGGAGCGGTGCCCAGTCCACACCGAGGCTCTGGGCACCGTTTCCTGGAGGACCTGCCCTCTAACTGACCAGAAGTCAGTTATCCGTGTGAGGCAAAGATTTCAAGGGACAGAGGGACGAGAGCAAAGGCCTAGAGGTGAGAGAGGCTTTCCTCATACTCACATCTCACCCAGCCTCCTCACTTCACAGATGGGAAACGGGATCATCTTAGCATGGCCTCCTCTCCCTAAGGGCCTCTGCGGGGGGGACTGGCTCCTGGAGGTGACCCCAGGTCTGCCCACGGGAAGCTGTGGTTGGCTTCCTGGTTGCTGCCCTCGTAGCTGGGCCCATGAGGAGCCCCAGAGGGAGCACAGCCTCTCAGATGCCACCCCTGTACTGCCAGCCTGGGGCCCAATTTTTATATGACCAGAGGCACACTATGTGGCCTTGGACAAGTCTTTGACCTTTTTGGGCCTCAGTTCTCTCAGCCATAAGGGCCGCTCTGGCTCAGCAAGTCCCAGTAAGAACTGACCACTCGGTTTTGTATCCAGTACCCTCTGGGTTTGCCTGAGGTGGTTCAGTTCCTTCCTCTGGAGCATTAGCTGTCTGAGGACAAATGCTGGGCATCGGCCACCACTCATGCATGCTGACAGTGACTGAGCACCTCCTGTGCCTGGCCTGTGGCTGGGCGTTCAGCAGTGACCCAGACAGTCACAGCCCATTTATACCAGCCAAGGTGCTCAGGACACGTTTGCCAGATGAGTAGGCTGGGCAGCAGCTCACCTTCCACGGGCTTTTGACCTGAAAAGCCCCCCACAGATCAGTTCTTCCTAAAATGCTATTCCCAGGCTTCCCAAGTGCTCAAGGTAAGAGTTACATGTAACCTAAAAGAAGGTACTGCTACCGGAGGGATTTCAGGCATGGACACGGATGAGGGACGTCAGTTTTAGGCAGCCCTGGCCCTCAGCCAGTTTGTCTTCCAGGGACACCTGCTGGAGCAGCTCTCTGGGAAGAGTGCCTCCCACAACTTCTGCTCAGTAACCCTTATTCTCGCCTCTCTAATCCCCACTCCCCACCCTCCCCACCCTGCAGGCAGCAAAAGAGACCTTGGCCAAAGCTGTGCTGGCAGAACTGCCCCAACAAGTTGTGCAGTATTTCAAGCATAAAAACCTGCCCCCAACCAACTCGGAGCCCGCCTGAGCGCCAGCCCGCCCAGCAGCAGCATGCCGGCTGGGCCTCCCGCCCTCCCCCAGGAACATGCACGCTCACCCTGCTTCCTTATGGGTGGCTTTTTTTTTTTTTTTAAATCGATCCACATGTTTATTTTTTACAATCGGACCTCCACCCCCAACTTCCCCCAGTCCAGCTGGGCTTCCTTTGTTGGAGCCGACTGATGATGCTTCCAGGCCAAACCGGCTTCTTTTCCTCCCGTCCCCGTCACTCCTGAGTATTGAATGTACTTTGTATAATTTTCGTGGAATTATTGTTATTAAAGAGAATAAAATTTTTACAATCATAACTAGCTGCTGACTCTGAGGAATGTGTCCCCGGTGCACACTGTGTCGTAGCCTGCACCTAATTCCTGCTCTGTTTTTAATGCTATGACCATGTTCTGTTTGTTACACTCAGGGTAATAAAGGAGTCTCAGACGTCCCTGTGTCAGCTCCTTCCTCAGCCGGAACCGATGGGCTCACTGATCTGGGAAATGAACATGAGAACCCCGTTCCCCCAGCAAGCCTGAGGGGGCGATGTCATCCACATGAACCGTAATACTTCTGTTAAACTGGCACAGAACCTGGCACAGTGTACATGCCCAATGAACACTCATGGCACAGGCCCCCATCTGTGCATTGCTGAGCAATTGTAGGTTTTCTGGCTCCTGCAGAGCCCACACCAGTGCTGCTGCAGTCCCTAGAGGTTGGCCCAGCCAACACCATGTGGTCACCACCCCTTCTTCCTCTTGGTCCACACACTGTCCTATGTGCTCCCCCCCTCCCACGTGCGGCAGCAATCACTGCCACCCATTTGCTGCCCTTGCAGGTCTCCCAGACATTGGCCCACCCTGTGGTCTGCAGTGTGTGAAAGGTTCCCTGGCCTCAGGATGCTAACAGGGCTGCTTGTCCCTGCTGACAGCCATTGGTTTCTGCTGCATGCCCCTCTCTGGGCTCAGGCCCAGCGTCTTGAAACCAGCCAGGAGACCAGTCTCTGGAACCCCAGCGGTCCTCGGTTCCCTCCCCTCTTCCACATAACACATCTTTCTCTTACCCACCATGCCCCACCCTGGGAGTTCCAGGCAGAGGCTGTGCATAACCAATAACTGACACTTAAATTAAGCGCTGTTTCCTGCTCCGTGTTTAAGTGCTTTACAGGCATAATCTTGACGAATCCTCCCAACAGCCCGTCTGCGACCATTTCAGAGATGTGGAAACAAGCAGAGAAGCTAATTTCATCTATTAGACGCAGAGTGAGATATCTGATCCGGGGCTGGCAGACTCCTGAGTCCACACTTGTCCACTGCAGTGCATGTCCTCCCTGAGCCCTACAGGGGTCTTCACTCAAGTTGGTAATGAGTTTGTCCTTCCTCTCTACTGAAAGTGGGAGTCACTCACCTTGACTGACTTACTCTCCCAGCTAATTCTTCCTAGTGGCTACACCTGGGCGGTGCACCAGGCAGCTCCTACCTACCGGTGCCTGGTGACCTCAGGAGCAGTGTTTATCTGGTGGAAGCAAGCGAGGGATAGCTTCATCCTAAGTTTTCTTTTTTTTCATCCTGAATTTTCAATGCATCTACTATGTAGGCACCAAGTCGGCTGAAATACCCTTAGGGACACCTTCGTTTCTCCCAAGGGGGCTGCAGGACTGCCTGGAGCCCTGATTCCCCCAAGGATGTTTGGGAAATCACACAAAGGTCTCCTGTTTTTCTGGAGGGGCTTAAGACGACAGCTGAGCCATATACCCACGGCTAGGACACCCGAGCCAAGAAACCGCGTGTGCCTGAGCAATTAACATTTAGCTAAGGAGGAAGCGCATAGAACAAGCTGGTGGTTGGAGCTCTGACGACCAGATCTGACCCTTCATCCTGTCAGTATTCTAGCTACAACCGAGGAATGTCAGCAGGATGCACAAACCTGCCATAAATCACTAACGGAAGCTCAGACACCCTGCCTACAAACGGGGGAGGCCGACTGTAACGACAGGGAGATGGCTACTACTTACTGAGCAGTGTGCCGACACTGCACCAAGTAGCTAGCCTAGATTGTCTTTCCCCCTCACTAGGGAGCTGGGATCCTTACTCACTGAGGAAACAGGCCCAGAGAGGTTAAGACCTTGCTCAAGTGGCCCAGCTAGCGAATGTCTGGCTCCAAGCTCACAGCCACGGTGGCATATCCACAGAAGGTGGAACCAGGCCAGGTTCTTGGGGAGAAGCAGGTGAAACATCTTAGGCACCTGAAGCTTCTGTCTCGGGTAGAAAGGAGGCAGCCAGAAGGGAAGGACCTTTGAGGTGGAGTGAAAGACAGGCCAGGGACAGGTCTGAGTCACCTCTAGTGAGGAGCTTTCAGTCTAGGATGCTCTTCAAAAGCTCAAGCACCCTCCCCGCCACCCGGAACCTGAAAAGCCAGCTGCCTCTCCTCCTGGGTGCTGGGTCAACGAACATGAACAGGTCACCAGCCACGTCATCAGGTCCAGTCACATCAGCCTCCCTGCTTTTTAGAGGCAAGTGGATGCTTTGAGTTTTATGCTTTCCTCCCTGCCCAGGTGGGTGACAGGGCCAAAGGCAGGGCACAGTATGACAAAAACTAGATAATCCAAATATAGCCGGCGGTAGGATTCCTCACAGACGAGCTTTCTTCCTCGCACAGTTCCAGAGTTGTAAGAACACTGCCACTCAGGACAACGTAAGCAGGCTTAAGAAATGCACCCCGAACTGTTTTTATCCCGTGACCTACTTATAAAATCCGTTCTCTGTTAAGGGGAGTGCTGCAGTTTATGGTTACGGCAGTTTCCTTCCAGCCCTGTTTTTCTATCCTTTGGGTTTGAACCACTTGGTTTACACTGGATGCTTTCCAAAGCCCCTTCCTCTCTTGGGCAGACCAGGTCCTGCTTTGCGACTCATAGTTTCCACAGAACCCGTCTCAGTTCCAATGCTCTACACTAACAGGTACAACAGAACACAATGACACGATCACCTGTGAGTCTCTCTCCCGCCTGAGACATGGGAGCAGAAACCTGTCTGAAGAGCTCAGCCTTAGACACAATCTACCTGTTATGGTAGATGGGGAGGGAGCTGGGAGCACAGATTCAGTACAGGGAAAGCAAGATCTTGTTATTAGCCTTCAAATTAAGTGTGTTTTAAATTCCTGCAACCTTTTGTCAACTTCTTCCAACATCAACAGAGGTCATGAGGTATAGTTAATAGCCCCTTACAAAGTTAAACCACACATAGGGTGACTGGTTCCTTAGTTTGCCTCCCGGAGCGATGAGAGGTTGCTCTGGGGACGGTCTGTGATCACGAAGCACAATCGCAGGAACAGTGAAGCAGAGAAACAGAAGGTGCCTACACAGTTTTACCTAAACGCCTCGTTTGTTAGAATGGAGCTGACAGCCAGGAACAATTAGCACGGAGTAGTTCTGAAGAGGAGGAAGAATCAGGCATCAATTATGGGTGAAGGGAAGTCACCATCTGCCAATGGGCACCGGAATGTCACTGCACTGGAAGGGGAAAGGAGTGAGTTGGATGAGATCCAGGGGCCTCTGCCCACGTTAAAACTGAGTAGCTCCTCTGCCTGCCAGCATCACAGTGTCAACACATTCTGTGTGTCTCTCTCCGTCTCACACCCAAGAAGGTAGAAACAATTGACGCAGGAGCCCAAGGCATGGACCGAATAGTTCTGTTCTGCTGAAGCAGGGGGGCCACAGTTTTTAGTTTAAGCCCATGACCACCTCTGAACTTGAGGCCTCCATTCCTGTCTCCCTCCCTCTATGAGACACAGGTGGAGCAGTACCTCTAGGTCCTGGCTGCTCACTGGCTCAGAGCCGCTCTGTGTGGGAAGGGAAAAGAGCAGGAGGGGTAGCAGATAAAAGAGAAAAGGACTGGGGCAGCACCTTTAAGCTAGAAATAGCTCCTATAGTCAGAAGCCACAGTTATAAAGGCATCAGCCAGAGAGGGACCTTGACAGGGCAGAGTATAGTCAGAAGATGCAGGTGTGTCCCATGGGTTTGTGGTATTAGGAACCCAGGAGCTGCCAAAACAAAGTCACCTGGTCCACATACCTACTAGCACCTGTGATTTCTGGCTCTGATGAAATAAGGCCTAGGTTTGCTTCTCTAAGGTTTAGTCTTAAATGGGATGAAACAAAGGGAGAAGGACTGTTTTCCAAGAGTAAGGAGACACTTCACAGCTAATGATGAGTGCGAAGTGACCACACCTGCAGACGTAGTTTTTAATCTTAGTCACACAACATCAAGCACTGGTTAGTTCCAGGGGAGCGCGCCAGTTCACCGCCTGGCAGTGTTCTCTGCCCGCACCTCCGCAGTGCAGTGCAAACGTGTCTGTCTAGGAGAGAATGTTTAAAATAATACCTGTCTGAGAACGGCCCTTGCTTCCCTGTGCTGTTTGAAAAGAAAAAACGAGAAAGCAACATAACCCAAACCCTGTGCAGCCCAGCTGTCCTGTCTTCCCAGGGCATTGCTGGTGGCGCTTCGCCGGGCCCTGACCCCCACTCCACATCAGTGAGGAGAGGCACGGGACAGGTCTGGGCGTCTGCACTGGAGTGAAAAGAGAAACCAAACACAGGCCGGGCCACAGGTGGATGCTGGCGCATTTTTAGACGAGGTTAAAAATGTCACGGTGTGCACAGGAAACAGGCAAAGAAGTTTTCTGAGGGAGGTAATGCCTGTAGGCAGGTGAACCATCCGGTCTATTCTTGGGGAGGAGCTCCCTGAGGTAAGGACCTGGAAGCTAGGGGGCCTCAAGGAAGGTGTTGGTCCGGAAGATGGAGGAGACGATCTTGCCGGTGGCGTTGATAGTGCCTTCGCTGTCCGAGCTGGACTCAGAGTCGCTGCTCCCAGAGTAGGCGCCCAAGCCGGGAAGGATGCCGATACAGACGGCGGCGGAGGGGCAGTGGATGGAGGGACCGCTCAGGGACGAGCTTCCCAGAGACACGCAGGACGGGGCTTCTGCAAAGAAAAGAGGAAGGACTTCAATTTCATCACCCTCCTCAGAAGCTCATGGTCTTCTTTCCATGTGCCAGGTGCTGTGCTTCGCCAGGGAAGCCTCAAAACCACCCCGCGCAGGCAACACTACTGCTGTCCTCACCGTATAGCTGTGCTCCTCCTTTAAAATCGAGAAGACAGAAGCCACAGTCAGAGACCATTTTAAGACCAGGCAGAATGTCACCAAGTAGGCTGAGACTCCTTTGTCCCAAGACACCCATAGTTATGCTATGCTACCACCTTAGTGACAGAAAGCCTCAATCTAGAAAAGGCAGGACTTAAAGGTTAGAGGAAAAGTTAAGAACTCCACTCCCCCTCCTTCCTTCCAAGTGTTCCCAGCCTCATTTAACCACTGCAACCACCTGACATGCAAGCATTATCCCGGGAGCATTTTACTGATGAGGAAGGTCAAATGACCTGCTAGGTTCTAAAGGACACTTACAGTAGAAAATGTTAATCTAAATCTGAATAAAAAAATAATGTATTAAAATGATTCCTGAGCTCTCACTGCAGAATAAGAGTTGGAGTTCCAACTTCACTGTCTCAGGCTGACAAGCATATTATCTTCTAGGATTTTGTTTTCACAAACCCCTAACTAACGGCTCATGTAAACATGAAAAGGATACACCTTTCCAAGTATATAAAATCAGGAGTGAGCAAGAAATACTCTGAGAAGCTAAAAGAAATCTCAAATGCCCGGACACAGAGTTCAGGAGCTCAGTATATTTGCTTGTCTTACTGGAAGTTCTAATAAGGGGAAAAAGCTGTTAAGATGGGCAATGTTAAAACATGGAGGTGCAGGAAAGTGAAATGAGAGCTGACGGTGACTGCAGAAATGGTGACAGGGCCACAAGAAAATAGAGGCCAATATTTGCAATACATATCACAAAAACTAATTTCTTTAAGACATAAAGAGTTCTTCCAAAACCAACCAACCAACCAACCAACCAACGACTAAATAGAAAGGTGGACAAAAGACCTAACAGTCACAGAAAAAGAAACAGCTGGATTTTAAACACAGGAGAATAAACATAAGGAGGGAAGGTATGGGGAAGAAGCGTCTTTATATGTTGCTGGGGGGGAGGGGAGGGCAATTCAGCAACGTCCTTCAAACTTAAATGATGTTCATATGAGAACATTCACTGCAGCACTGCTGAGAGCAGCAAAAAACTGAGACAATCGAAATGTCCATCAATACGGGACCACTTCAGTAATGGACTACTATTCAGCCACTAAGAAGAGTAAAGCACCTCTGCTTACTGGTATAGAATGGTCTATAAGATACTGTGCTAAATAAAAGAGGTGAGGGTGTTTATAAGTTGTAATTTGTGGGGGGAGGGCCGCCCAGGTATATGCATAACAATATCTGAAAAAACTACCTTAAAAACTGGTAACAGTGGCTGCTCTGGGGAGAGAAACTGAGTGGTTGGGGAACACGGGGAGATAACTTTCTCCTCCACACAGCATTGTCCCTTCAGAATTTTCTATTATGTGCACATAATACCTATTCAGACAATTTTTTTAAAAGGCAAATGCAAAAATCCAAAGAGCATCCTGGGCCACTTAAATTAGGGAGGAACAGCCCCACATGTCTCTATAATCACAGGGCATCCCTGTATTACAGCCAGGAAGGCTGTGGAAGACTGGACAGTCCTAGAGAGGACAGGGATTGCTTGTGTATATTCCCCTCTAACCATAGGTCTCTAGAGGACAAGGGCTCTTTCTTCACCATGCCATCCCTATGCCCTGGGCATACAGCACAGGGCCTGGCACAGAGCGGGCCAACGTCCACAGCGTGTGAGAATGCAGGAACATGTGTTAGACACTTAGCAATTTCACTGCAAACGGCTCAAATTGTGTGTATGTGGGGGGAGGGTGTTGAAAATTTGGGATATAACATCAGACTGTATGCCATTCACTAAACATTCACTGTATTATTAAGTCACACATACAATGATACTTTCAATATTGTTCGAAAAAATTGGTTGTTTAAAAAAACACACAGCTATCTTATAAGCGTATGAGTCAGCTACTTAGAAAAATAATTTATGTGAAGCTGTGCAGTGAGATGTGACATTCTATTAAGTATTTCAAGGGTGACTTTCTTACACAGAAAAGACCCAGTCCAAAGCACCTGTAGAGGACCAGGCTGGCCTGAGGGAAGGACAGAAGTCAGCCGCAGAAATGCAACCAAAAATCTAGACCTCTGTAGCGTCAGCAGGGTTTAAGCCAAAAGACCAGATCTCCCAATTATCTAGGAGGTTTGAAGACAGAAAGAGACTGGGGCTTTGACAAATTTCATTCCAAAAGCAGTTAACTGCCCAAAGAGAACAAAACGGTGCCCTCTGACCTCACCCATTTGGTGAAGTTTCCTGCCAACTTGTGCATTTGCAGGACCGCATTGTCATACCAAATTAACACTGAAATTACTAATAGACAATGTTCTTGGGATTCAGACAGCTACGTGACTTGAGAGTAGATGGGGCCAACTTGTGCATTCACTGGCTCTGCTCCTAAGTCCAGGGCCTATGGGGGGAAGCCTGAATTTCCACTGGGATCACAGGGCTATCTTCTGGGGGACCAAAAGGGTGGGTCCTGCTACTGCTGAGAACAAGACTCTGAAGCAAGATACAGCAGACATTCTTCCTGTGTGGCCTTAGCTCCTAACAAAAGAGGATATTTCTTGCCCAGCTTCTGCTGTAAGGAAGTAAGAAGGGGGAGGAAGAAGGGATTCAGAATGCCAAAAAAGATAGCTCTGAAACACGTGTCTGCCTCAGCGTAAAGACCCCACAAGTTCTCCTTTCCACTGACTCATGCAAACAGTTCCTACCAGGGAATAAGTACAAGATACGTAGCTACTAATTAACTAGTTGAAACATGTTTAAGATTCTATGAAGTATTATATATAGATGTGTGTATAGAGACACACAATATACACTTATCCTATTTAAGCAGCCACAGTTTAGCAAGTTTCCTACATATTAAAAAGATACCCATGAAATGGAATTTCAACATGGCAAATGGGAATATAAACTGGGATGACTTCTTTGTAGGGCAGTTTGGCAATACTTACCTAAATGTATATCCTTTCTGACCCAGTAATTCTAGGTATTTAACCTGACATATATTTGTGAATATAAAAACTGATGAATGTATAGGATTATTTACTACATCATAATAGAGAAAGAATGAAAACAATCTAAATATTCATCAATAAAAAATGGGATAAATATACTATGGTACAACCATATAATGGAATACTTACTATCCAGTTAGTTGGAGGAGTCACACTTCCCAATTTTAAACCTTACTACAAATCTATAGTGATCAAGACTGTGGTAATAGTGTAAGGACAGACATATATAAATCAATGGAAGAGAAAAGAGAGACCAGAAATAAGCCCACACTTGGTCAACTGATTTTCAACAAAAGTGCCATGACAATTCAGTAGGGGGAAAACAGTCTTTTCATCAAATGGTGCTGGACCAATTGGATGTCTGCAGAGAATGAAATTGGATCCCTACCTCACACCATATATAATATTTAACTCAAAATGGATTAATGACCAAAATGTCAGAGCTAAAACTCTTAGAAGAAAACACAGAGATAAATCTTCATAGGCAATGATTTCTTAGATATGACAACGAAAATATAAGAAACCAAAGAAAAAATAGATAAATTAGATCTCATCAAAATTTAAAACTCTTGTGCTCCTAGGACACTATAAAGAAAGTGAAGATACAACTCACAGAAAGGAAAAAATATTCATAAACCATGTATCTGACAAGTGTCTAATATCCAGAATATAAAAACAATTCTTAAAGGTCAACAACAGACAACTCAATTTAAAAACAGACTCAGGATGTATTTCTCCAAAGAAGATATACAAATGGTCAATAAGTACATGATACCAACATCATTAGTCTTTAGGGAAATGCAAACCAAAACTGTAATGAAACATCACTTCACACCTACCCATGATGAAAATGTTTTAGAATCAGGCAGTAATAATGAATACATTCTTGTGAACATGCTGAAAACTACTGAATCGTTTCCTTTTATGGTATGTGAACTATATTGTGATATATTTTTTAAAAGCTATATAGCCAAATACAATGTCTGATCCTCACTTGGATCCTGATTGTTAAAAGAAACCACTGTCAAAAAAATTTTTTATGGGAAAAGAAATACTAATTTTTTTTTGGTAATATTTAGGAATTATAATAATTTTAGGTGTGATAATGGGACTGTAATTATGTTAAAACAAAGAACCCTTAATTTTTAGGGATACATACAGAATTATGGATGAAATAATTTGCCTCACAATACCACAGTTGGGAAGGTATAAATAAGATTGGGTACATGTTACAAATTGTTGAAGCTACATGATGAGGTTTATTATGCTATCATTTTAATGTTTGAATATGTTTAAAGTTATCTATAATAAAACTTTAAAAAAAATTTTGTGATTGCTTGTACATACATAGAATAGCTCTGGATGGATACATAGAAAATGTATGACACTATTTCCCTCTGGGAAGGAGACTGGCTGGAAGAGGATATGCAGGTGGAAGGGAGACTTCACCAAATGTCCTTTTTAAAAGTAGATTCTACAGCGAAAAGGAATCAGCAACAGCTGACCATTACTGCTGCTCAATAGATACATATTTTAAAATACCCATTATTTTTTTGAGAGAGAAATAAATTAAGCCCTGTCTTATAGACGACCCACTGAATTGAGCTCAGACTCTCAATCCCACAGGGATTCAGGGGTACAACTGAAAACACTCTTGAATTTCCTGTTCTTGATCCAACACCCAGGATACAGTCACCTTGACTTAAAACTGTGCCACTTAATACAGCGTCAGATTTGATCACATAAAAGCAACCACCAAAGAAAGTGTACTCCTGGAAACTGTATTAAAACTAGGCTCCATCCAATCCAACCATCAGCAGGAGCCAGGCATCCTACCTCTCACTGGTAGTAAGCCAGGTGAAATCAAGAAACTTGACATTTGGGGAAAACAGAGAAAAATGCTTTGTGAGAAAAGGTGATATGACCAGGGCTCTGGCTTTGTATGCACTCCTAGGGAGCACAATTGTCACTTATCAGCTCCACAGGTTTCTAACATAGTACTCTGCAGGGCAGCTGACATACTCTTAGGTATAAATCCTGCCTGGTATAAAACAGTTTGGTAAATTAAGTCTAGGTAGGCCTGCTTAGAGATAAATGTAGTCATTCATAGGTGCAATGCATTCCAGCCCCTAACTGTGGTCATGTGTATTGTGAGCAAAGAACGAAATGAAAGCTGCCACCCACCTTGATTCTTGTCATCTGGGTCAGGGTCCGATTTCAGTCTTTTTACACTGTTGCCACTCTCTGAACTGTAACAAAAAACATGGTGATGTGAGCTAAGTCCAATCTTGGGGATCAAAGCTTTGGGAATTAGGAGCTCCAATAACCATTTATATGACTCTGAGGCAGCCTCAAGGAACTGGAATAATCTGAAATGTAAAGTCTTCATTTCAGAGTCTCCTTCTGGTTACATTATAAATTATAAAGACAATCTAAACCCCTGACCAATTCAAGGGGTAAAGCATTATATCTACAACCATCACCTAAACTTCAGGTCCTTTGTTGTTCTTATCAAGGATAAAAAGCCCAAACATCAAAAATAGCCAGCCATCCCTGTCCCCTGTTCTCTGTTAACAAGAGCTGGTGGCCGGATGTAAATATTCCATTGACTGCGTTTCTACACACCAGCAACAAAAAAATATATATATGTAATACTTAGGAATACATTTAACAAAAAATGTACACAAGTTTTTTGAAAAATAACTATAAAACTTTATAGCATGACATTAAAGGAAACCAATAAATGTAGATACATGCCATGGGTAGGAAGACTCAAGTCCATAAAGATCTGTTCTCTCCACAAATTTATCATGCAATCTAATAACATTGCAATAAAAATCCCAAAAGAGATTTTGAAAAAACTTAAACTAAACCTAAAATTTATATGGAAGAACAAAGTGGCCAAGAATAGATAGATATGACTTGCCCTACCAGATATGAAGATTTATTATAAAGCTACAATAATTACACAGAATGGTGCTGATTCAACAGATCCAAGGACAAGAGAAAAAACAAACCCTCAGACAAACCAATATATGTATGGAAACTTTTTATAAGACAGAGATGACATTAAAGGCCGCTGGGGGAAAAAGGCAGAAGTATGTAGTAAATGCTGCTAGAAAATTTTTTGTTTGGAAAAAAAAAAAAAAAAATTGGAGTCCCTACCTCATATCCTTCACAAAAATCAATTACAGATAGATTAAAGACTAACATGTGAAAGATGAAACTCTAAAACTTTTAGAAGAAAAACTCTCTTATGACCTCAGTGTAGGAAGAATTTCTTGAACAAAATATAACAAGCTCTAACCATAAAAGAAAATATTGATGTATGTGACACCTTCAAAGGGAACATGTGGTTATAAAATAAGTCAGTCTTGGGGATGTAACATGCAGTAAGGTGACTACGGTTAGTAATACTGTGTTGTATGTCTGAAAGTTGCTGAGAGAAGATCTTAGTTCTCATCACAAGGAAACAAAAAACAAACTGTAACTGTGTGTGGTGATGGATGTTAACTAGACTTAGACTCCCAGTCCTCACTCCAAACTTACTGCACCGGAACTTGTGGCCTAGAAGCCACATTAACAAATTTCCAAGTGATACATTAGGAACTCCTGCCCCAGGAGACTGACTAATTTATCACCTTGCTACACAAAACAGCAACAAATGATGTAGCTTCAAAACCTAAAAGGGGTTATATGTCACCAAGTAAGCTAATACAGGGCCCCTTTTGAAAGGTGCTGCGGACTATAAGGAGTTATAACACCCATTCCGCTAGCAGCAAGATACTCCTCAGGTAGATGCCCACCTAGAGAGCCCTTTCTTGGCACAGTCCAGTAAAACTGACCCAGGTCCAAATCCTGAAAGGCACCAGGCCCAGCATGAAAGCTTATGCGAAAACTTGAAAGGACTAATTCATGGCTCGGGTAACCGGCCCTGTTCAGGTTGCTGACCCTTCTCTCCTCTGCTGCTACACCATGACGACATTTTTACATGCAAACAATACTCCTAGGAACATCTGCAGCAGATGAACAGTGGGCCAAACCACAAGACTGCATCTATATACTCCCTTCGAAACACGCGGCTGGTTGACAATACACCATATTGATTTTCCTAACAGAATGCACTTAACCAACTTTACATCACTTTGCCCATGGTATGGTGGTCAAATGGAAATGACTGGATTAAATCACTTTGGTGCATTTCAGGATTTGGAAAGGGAGGAGCAAACATAACAAAGAACTTACCAAAATCTCTAGGCAGTGCTGCCACCCTGTCGATCAAGCAGAGCCCAGCCAGGTCCATGACCCTGTCACAAAGCCACGGTCTTACAGGCCACAAAGCCCTTGCTGCTAGCAGCTCTCCCACTCCACCTCCTATCTGCCAGGCAAAGCCCTAGCCACCCTCACATCTCCTTTCTAATGCCTTCCCTAACTTCCCCAACAGGAGCACTCGCACGCCTTCCAGGCAGCAGTAAGTGTTCCCTCCTTTCTGCTCTTATTATTCCCTGTACAAATCCTTTCAGAGAACTTGCTACCTCATTTGCTTAGAAACATAAATGCTCAAATAGTAAACTCCATCTCTCCTATAATTTTGTGACCTTGCATAAAGGTTCTCAACCTCTCCAATTCTCAGTCTCCTTACCTGATAACAGTAATTTGTACTTCATAGACTTGTTGAAAGAAATACGCACTTAACACAATGCCTGGCATACAGCGGGTGCCCAATGCAGAGTTGAACTAACATACCGAGGCCAGGGTCAAAGGCGTCAGACATAACAAATTCAGAAGGAGAGCACGATGAGGCTGCCAGGGGAACTTCACTGAGACTCGCTCTGGCTATCATTCATTACAAGTGCATTTCAGAGCACACGGCCAGGGAGATTTAAGTGGTGCACGTGCTGGCTGACCTCTTATGCTTCACAGCTCCTGCCAACAGCTTTGCCTGGGAGAACTTGTTCTTGGTTTCCATGGGTTTCGCAGCCACTTTTTTCTCCACTTCCTTCCTGTTTTCTGGAGAAATTCCAACCTTGTTGAGATTACTGTGAGTTACAGGTTAAGGGTCAAACTCAGCAAAAGGAAGAGCTGTGGCAGAATAAGTGGAAAGAAGGAACACAAGTAAAATCCACTAGCACTTGAGCTCTGCCATGTAACGTTTAGCCTACTGATGAAACAGAAACAAACAAACCCTCCCCTCTGTTCTGCCAGTCAAACCCAGCTGATTTAAAGAGAAGTGGAGGTGAACACAAAGGGAGGTGGCAAATCAAGCACAATATAATATAGAAAAGCTAACTTTCCCCTCTGATTTTCTATGGAAATCTGAGTATAGCCAGAAAACGTACTGAAGACACAGTAGATATGCTCACTGGGGAAAACAAAGATCTTAATAGAAGTGAAACAGAAAAAAACATGACTTCCCTGAAAATGTTTGCTTTTTCCCTCCCTTTAGGGTAAAATCAAATTTTGCAGAATGTCCTATGACTATTAATGGCATTCAATCTTAGACATGACCAAGACTAATTCTGACTCTGCTGGTACAAGGCAACATCAAAATCACTTAAGGAAAAAACAGAGTCGTCATGTCCATCACTGTCACCACCCCCCACTCCCGTCACAAGCCTACTGAATGAGGACCTCCAGGCGCCCAGGAACCAGTTTTAAACACTCTCAAAGTGATTTTAATGAGAAACCCCTGTGCATATATAACACAACACAAGAACCAAAAAGTTGACTTTGAAGCATAATCAGTTCACTTGGAACATCATTTTTTTCATGCTTGATGTCAATCTCTGGCTTTCAAGGTCTGTCACTTTCTTTTGTTTCCTTCACCAGCGTCCTCTCTACCTTCCCTGTCATTCTCTCACAACCTATTATGCAACAGATGAGTATTCCAACAGGGTGCAATTCCTTATTTAAGATGCGGTAGTGCCTATTGGAACAATAGTGACATCTAGTGCCCAAGGGATCTGAGAAGCATGTATTATCAATCCCAAAGGTAGGGGTGGGGCACATGGTCTAAGCTATTTATTTATGTGAGAACACTGGGTACCAGAAATAAGTTAAGTCCAATTCTTACCCCTCTTCAGGCACTATCTCTGTTCTTACGAACAACAGTTCCCTTAAATATCTGCAGTATTCAATGGGGATTATGCATAATGCTCAGTACTACTTCGAGTTTCACCAGTTTAATGTTTTTAAGGTCATCATGGAAACAGGATATTAATACTAAATGTTCATTTTTTTAAAGAATAAAAATGAAAAAACAACAACAGATTTTATCTTTCCAGTATAGAATGCCAAAAACCATGAGCATGCTGTGATTTTTACCTGTAATTCTATTATTAAGGGATAGCAACTCAAAGAAAATTCTGAATTAATACAATGAAAGTACATGTGTATTTACAATACCAGGGCACAAACAAACAAAAAAAACAACACTTAATTTTTTATTCTTTTAAATTGAAGAACAGCATCCAACCTTTTCTTTTGGGGGAGGCAGGGAAGATGATAGGAAGGTGGTAATATTATTATTTTTGAGCCATATCCGAAGCATCAACAGTTTTTTCCCTAAGTCCCTCTCCTGTAAAATGCTTTAAATACACAAACACATCTCAAAACTCCCAAGGAATTCATTAAAAGGCATTTTTATAAGTTACAGTTTTTAACACACATAATATGGATAAACACAGGTTAACCTGAAGGAAACAAGAGATCTGTTGTTTATATGGCACAAACCACAGCTTACTTGTATTCACAAGTATCATACTCATTATAAAATGTATCATATTATAACAATCAATTAAATCCAAGAACCAGCTCCTGGTTTAGAGCTTCCATAAACAAATGTCTAACCCTTCAATTCCTATCTCAACAGGTCTCTGGCTACACGCACCCTTGGGATTAGTGCATATACATCAGTGAGTTGGCAGGCTTGTTTTTCTTCAGTTCTTCTAAACAATCAGAACTTTCCAAGTTTCCAACGAAAGCCAATACCCCTGGGGCCTCTTCACTGTGGCTGTAATGCTACCAGGCCAGGAAAGTTTCTTTTTCCCCCCAAGTATATCTTTATTGATTTCAGAGAGAGGAAAGGAGAGGGATAGAGATAGAAACATCAATGACGACAGAGTCATTGATCGGCTGCCTCCTGCACGCCCCCGACTGGGGATCAAGCCCATAACCCGGCATGTGCCCTGACCGGGAATCAAACCCCGATCGCCTGGATCCTAGGTCAACGCTCAACAGCTGAGCCCCGCCCAGCCGGGCTCTCACATATAACTTTTCAATTGAACCTACTGCACACTCCCTGCAAAATAATACCAACTAACACATACACATAGTGTCATATCAATCTTGGAAGTAAAGCCTGTTCAATCATACCAGTCAAGTTATTCAACACAGAAGCTTGAAATATTCAAGTAAGATTTCTCATAGGAGAAAAAAAACTAGGGTGGCCTTATTAACCTCTCCTATGAGTCATTACTTTATCCACATACATACTGAGAAACTACTATATGCCAGGCACTGGGAAATCAGTGGTAACCAGTCCTTGTTCTTGTAGAGCTTACTTCACATTCCAACAGTAAAGAGGCAAACAAACCAAGACTTTCAGGTAGTGACAAGTACTATTAAAAATAACATTATATACAGTGATGAGAAGGGCTGCAATTTTAGGTGGGGTGCTTAGGGAAAGTCTCTATGAGAAAGGGAGATGTGAACTGAGACCTGAGTGCCATGGGATGAGCCTTGTAAAATCTGAGGGCAGAGCATTCTTGGCCAAAGAAACAGCAAGTACAAGGCCTTGGGATGGAAGTGCAAAGATCAGTGAGAGAGGAACCTAAAGAAGGCCAGTGGGCTGCAGTATAGCAAATACTAGGAAGAGTGAGTTCAAGATGCAATGGGTAGGTGGGTTGGCCTAAATAATGTAGAGCCCTATAGGGCCTGATAAAGAATGTAGACTCAAGTCCAAATACAACAGGAGGCCACTAGTATTTCAAACAGGAAAGTGACACGATCCCATGTATGTTTTCAAAAGTTCCTGAGAAGGGATTGTTGGGGACGAGCGCAGAAGCAGAAACTAATTAGATGGCCATAGTAGTCCAGAGAAGAGTCAGTGACTACTGCAACGGCAGTAGGAAGAGCAAGAACCACACAGATTTGGAGTACATTTTAGACGTAATTTTTGCCCCAGGTACCTGGAGGTATAGGACTGCCATTATTGAGACTGGGAAGATCAGAAAAAGAAAAGATGGGAAGTCAGGCAGTCTGATAAGGGTGGTGGTAGTGAGGCATGGAATTGAGAATTTTGATTTAGCCAAGTTACATTTGGGATGTCTATTAGGACATTCACATGGATGTTAAAAAGGCAATACTGAGCCAAAGCAAAGCCACCTTTGTTGCTGCCTCTACCCCTCTATGGGGACAGACCAGGCTGTACCTATAGGACCTGGGAGAGCTGCTAGACATTTTTTTTTAAAAAAACTCAGAAGCCAATTTTTCCCCTGGATGAGGGTTTTTGCCTAGCCCATCTGTTTCAGGGTCTAATCCTACAAGGCAAGAATACCCTGGTACTGACTATTAGGATTTAGGCCTCTAGTTAATCCTAAAGGATCTGGGCTTTTGATTGCAGCAGATTCTTACATGCGACATAACTCCATAAATCACCGCAAGTTAGTTATCCAGTCGTCAAAATATCACTGTTGAAAGGGAACAGAGATTGCCAGGGAGAAGACTTTCATTCTATTTATAAAGAAACTAACATGAGAGATGTTGATGGGAAAACTGACACCTTCCAGATTTCTCTCAAAGTACAAAGGATATTCTGTATTCCTTCAGTTCTTTCAGTTCTTCTTCTCGGCGTTGCTTTTCTATTAATTCCTGCTGCCGAGAAACCTCATCGAGGAAGTTGGTCTCATCTTCATCTAAGCCTCTTACCATGTTTTCTGAGGGAATAATTAAACAAGGAACACTTAGCAGGCTTAAGGGAAAATATAGTCAAATAAGATTTTTCCTTTTCCTTTTTTTAATAAACGGCAGATCCTTCAGGGGATTAGAGGAATGAATTTGCTTTGGAATAGATAACATGGCATAAAATCATGGCATCTCTCCTACTACTAGATGTTAGCACAGAATGAAAATGGGTATCTTGAGCTCTAAACAAAAATGTTTAATGTGGTCTAGAAGGCACGAAGTTTGTCTCTTTTCCAGCAAATAAGCATTTAGAGACTAGATAATCAACTCCATGGGTAGTTAGGAAAAGTGTTGAATGAGGCAAACGTGCATCAGAAAGACCCTGCAGAGACCCTGGGACGCCGTGTTTTCCAAAGCTTACTGAATCTGAACTGCTCCTCGTACTCCTGCTGCTTCCTGTCTTTCTGTTCCTGCAGCCTTTCATACAGAGACCTTGGGTCATAAACCTCCTCCGGACATTCTGAAAGGAAGGGAAGGAGGGGTGGGGAGACACATATTTTAGAATTCTTTCATATTATTTTGGACTCATAAAGGATTTTAAAGATCAAGTCAAGTCTGTGCATGAGCTGAAGACAAGGATAACACAAAAATAGTACAAAGTCCATAGCTTCTCTTTGGACCTCAGAGCCAACTGTCAATGTCAATAGGGCCCATGGCCCAAGACAGTTAACTGGATGAGGGGCCAGCCCAAACCGTACATAGCAGCAGCTCTCTCAGTTGTTCGGATCCAGGACCCACCTGCCTAGACAGAACAGACTAGCAGAACCTCCCGGGAGACAATGCAGTAGAGTGGAAAGGGCAAAGACATGAGTATCCCAGCTCCGTTCCCAGCTCTGGAGGCCTAACACAGGCTCCTTCAGCCCTGTGAGCCTTAGTCCCTCTACCCTTATACCTGCTTTGCAGGCCTGCTGTGAGGATCAAGACTGTTACGTTGAATGCCAAACTGTAAGTCCACATACCTTCCGGATCTTCAGGTTTTCGAACTTTATCCCATTCTTCTTGCCTCCTTTTTCGCCGTTCATCCAGTTCGGCCTCAGTCACAAACCTCTTTTTGATAACAAGGTTACCATCATCTCCTCCATCCATAATGAAACAATCAGTCTACGGAAAACGAACAAAATATTTCAAGTGAGAACTGCAATTAAAATTCTAAAGAGAAACAAGGAGATTTAGCCCTCTCACCCAGCAATGGACTACCTCAAAACTCCCTCTGACCTTGAATTGAAGAAATCCTCAAGTAGTTTCATTTATAAGTCATCGATGAAAGCACATGATTACATTTTCCCTAACGTATGAAGTAGTTTTATTAACACTGCATTATGTACAAAGTCAGGGAGAAGCCCTGGAATAATTCTCATTACATGCTGCTCCACATTAAATCTTACATTGCAAATATTTCTCTGTCCCTCTAATCTACACAGATTGGTCTCCTGGGCACCGTTTTCCCAGTTTGCATCTTCCTCTATTTCTGTAACATCTAACATTGTTCCTCCTTGAAATTCCCATTTTAGGGACATTACACTACCTCGACTGACCTGTTATTTCCAAATAGGTTCAGAATGGAGAAACTCCGGTATTTGGGGAGCCTTGGAGATCAAGTGTGGTCTATGAAGCAGGAAAGCCTAGAGACACACAAACCACAGATGGAGGAAGGGAGACTAGAAAACCCAATCTCCCAACTTCGGATTCATGTACCTGCGCTATACTCATGTGGCTCCTCCTTCATCTCTTTCCTGATCTTCCTCCCTGTAAATTCCATGCCTGTGCCACTTAAGATTCTATCTTCAATCCTTCTCTTCTCACTCCCACGATGACCTCAACCACTTTATGTGTTTCTTGATGCAAAAGACTCCCAAATCCCAATCTATGTACTTCTACCTGAACCTCTCAGAAAGGAGGAGGAAAGGAAATAAAGATAGAAGAGTGTGCATTCCTTCTTTTCAACAAAAATGTTCTGCTTTTCTTCGCTGGTGTCTTTCCTTATGAAGACCTGTTATGTGCTATTCACAGAATCACACGCTAACAAGGAAGCACACGCTAACATTCTGCACTACTGGCACATCAACTCAATGTCTATTTCAAGATGATCCTTAACAGCCAAAATAATAAGTCTCTACTGCGGGCACAAAAATAAGGTAGCAACTATTTACTGAACACTTTTTATGTATATTACTTCATTTATACTCACACTGACCCTATGAGAAGTATATGTCTTTACAGAGGAAGAAACTGAGGTCCAGAGAAGTTATGCCACTTGTCTAAAGTGATAAGGCTGGTGGATGGTAGAGCTGAGACTCAAATCCAGCCTGACATAAAAAATTCATACCCACCTCATCATACCCCTCCCCAGAAACCAGGGATCCTGGTTGAGAAGGACATGTCGATTTCAGCTTTCTTCCTACATCAAATTCCAGTGCTGAAAATGCTCTTGCAACATTTTTCTTAAGTAAAAATGAAAAAGGAAGCTGAGAAAATAAAGCCAAATGTTCAGAACAGAACAGTCTCAGCCTAAATTCCACTGTTGCTGAAGTTTAGTTCAGCGTAACAATAAGAGAATTTTGAGATTTACTAGAAAGAAAACAAAATCAATTGACAGAAGCTGTTGCTCCACCTAAAGCCCACAACCTGGACACTTCTGATTTTGCATCACTTGATGTCTCTTCCCAGAAGCCTATTACAGGAACAGAATTGTTCAGTCTCTGTGAACATGCCAAACATTCCTCAATTTCTGCAGAATGACGTCTTGTGAAACCGGAGCCAGCATTTTCATAAATGTCCTTGGCAGAGACAATGTCAGCTATGTAGGACTCTAATGGATGGGAGATATACTGGACCCTCAATTTCCCCCCTTCTTACCCTCTATCAGCTGTCGCTCTCCTTTCTCACCCTATATTGGCAGTCTGGTTTCTTCCCCCCACCCTTATTTCCTGGTAAATAACTCAGAGTGGGATGGGCCCTTACAGCCCACCATATCTGATTCCCATCTGGTACCTGGAGATTTTCATCCAACCCATATTTGAAACTTCAAGATGGGCCACCACACTCCCTCCTTGAGCAGATCTGATAGTATAGTTCTTCCTTAAGCTGAACTGAAATCTGTCTCCCTACAAATGCTACACACTGGTTCAATCCCCAGGACTAAACAAAAGAGCCAAATCCTTTTTTCATGTCAATACTTCAGCTGTTTGAAGACAACTCCCACGTTCCTCCTATTTTGTCACTTTTCTGGGCGAAACATCCCTATAACAGGGTCTCAAAGCAGTGACTTTATCAGATTGCATACGATTTAAACCTGGGAAATGAGTACCTACAACTCATTTATTTACCTCCTTCTGGAAATGACAGAAACAACAAAGTTAAAGTGTTTATTTCTAATTCCTACTGCCTAACTAAATTTTCACAAGTCTCTTATTTTTCTCCTTTGTTTGCTAAAATAATTAAAAACAAAACAAAACATAAAGAAAATCCCAGGGGTCTGGGGATCTAACTATAAAGATTCCTGTGGGAAGACTTATTTTGTCCTTACTGTGTTTCATTTTAGAAAGAATGCTGTCAACTTTCCTTTACATAACTTTTTTTCTTCAAAGTGACCTGAGTTAAAGTATCAAACTCAACATTACATTATTTTAAAAACAATTACTTAAGTTCTTCAAAGAGGGAATTCAGGGAAAACTAAAACCATACCAAAATCACTTTGTCCAAACTTAAAAAAAAAAAAAAGTTTCAAACTGATACAAATGAAGAACATAGTTTTCACACTTGCTTGTCAGCCAAAGAAACGAAGTTCTTATATTTCAAGCCAAAGTAACTGTAATACACTGCTCTACTGTTTGTACTGGAGACTGTGGTATCTAATTTCCAGGTTGGTGGGGCAAAACAGGCTGTGTCTTACATAGCATGCCACACAAGTTTTAAGATACAAAATTTACCTTGCTGTCCCCAAAATAATTGCTATTGCCATGATACAAGTTAATGAGATCTGGTTTCCTATGGAATTAAATTTTGTGATGGCAGACTACTTAAGTGTTTACAGCACTTGCCACCATACCCTCCTAATTCTAACATTAGTTAGACTCTAAGTGTAAAAATACACCAGGGAAACTCTGTTAGGGTGTTCTAAGGCTTTTCTCTTTGGGTAGCAAAAGCAATAGGCTAATACGTTTTCCTTTTGTCAGTAAATATAGTTAAGCGCTGCTCTTCCTACATTTGTGCCCTAATGTTCAAGTCACAACTAAAAGGAATTTTCCATCTGGCAAACTCAACTGTATTCCAAATAAAGACTGCTTTCTGGCTAGAAGGCTCTTCTATCAGCTACAGTAATTTAGATCAAGCCAATTTTCCCTATATTATAAAACTTCACAGAATGACAACTACTAACAGAGAACACTCTGTTAGCATTTATTACTAGACAAAGTAATCCTCAATCTTCCAACAATGAGGCTTTTTTACCATATCCCAGTACCAAAGAAAACTAAAAGAACCTAAAAATGAGGGCACAGCATAGCAATTTAATTCATATTTAAAATGTTTATTATGAAGGACAATTGAAGTAACCTTCTGGTTGTCTAGCATCTAAAACAATGCATGCAATAAAAAGTTATTTTTTTAAAAAACCTATATATCCATTTATCTTCCCATAACACGAGAACTGTCTCATTAGATGTGCATTTACCTTAAGTTCATCTATCTGCACTGGAAGAAAAAAAGAGAGAACTTAAAATATTGGTTCCCTTAGCAGATCCTCAGTTCCCTAGTTCATAAGTGCCTCTCAGAGTATAAACACTTCCCTCACTATGAATGAGTCTAATATTAGTTGTATTTATTTCACATTGTGACTCTTAAATGCAAACCAACTACTTCATCTGAGGCTCACAGGATGAAAAACAGCATCTGTTCCAAAGCTGGAGGAAAGCCTGGCCATGCTAGAATTTTGCTGCGCTGGTATACCTACATCCAGCATAGTGCTTCCTTAAAAGATTTTCGAAGGTGGCTTTATTTTGCATCTGGGCTGGCTTTTGAACCTAACCCACACTAAATCATACCTCCCCTCCCCCAGGCTTCAGAGAACTCCTAAGATCAAATTTTTAAAAAATAAATAAAGACTTTGCATTACACAACCATACATAAGGCGAACAAATTCATTCATTTGTATTTCTGAAGTAAATCTTTATAGGGGACCTATTATGTTGAAGGCACAGTACTAGGCACTAACCTGGTGCTCTACTATTTAACAAGTTGAGGCACTTGCATCCAATAAGAGATGAGGATGGTACATGAGCAATTTAGAAAAGTAGACTAAGACTGAATGCTGTAAGAGAACAGAAGATAAGTTCAGCAAAGGAGGACCAGAAAAAAGCATCAGGGAAGCTTAATTTTGATAGTAGCTGTGATACTGCAGTGAAAACTAGAAATAAAACCCAATATTCAAACTTGTTTTCATCCTGAGGGTTTATCTGATCTTAATGCTGTTGTTTTGGTGCCTTTGTGAAGAAACAGAAACTAAAGCCCACATAGGATGTGAGGTCTGATAACCATCTATTTCTCAATCTTAATCTGGAACTCCAAAGAACTACACCTTCTAAGTAAAGGTGATCTGGGAAGACAAAGAGCAGAAATAAGCAACAGAAACAGATCCAAAGGGAATTCAGACTGTGGATTTAAAGCATACGGATTACAAAACAACTATGCTTATCATGTTTAAAAAAACAAAAAGCAGACCTAAAAAATTAAGAGCAGAGAATAAGAAACTGTAAAACAGTGGTACAGCCCATTTGAAAAGAACCAAATAGAACTTCACAAACTAAAAAAATGCAGTAACTGAATTTAAGATTTCAATGGATGAGTTTAATAACACATTAGAAACAGGTTAGAGAATTAATGAAGAAATTATCCAGAATGTAGTGTGAAAAAAAAAAAAAAGTGAGAGGAAGAGAACAGAGTAAAAGGTCTATGTTAAATCAGTTAGGAAGAAGGAAGAGAAAAACAATGGGGCAGAGGCAATATAGGGATATAACACAGCCAAGAGAAAAATAAAATAAAATGGCCAAGAACTTCACAGAACTAATGAAAGACACTAATCCACAAACTCAAGAAGTCTAACAAACACCAAACAAATCTAACAAAAACAAATCCATAGCTGGATAAGTAATAGTGAATATGCAGAAAACCAAAGATAAAGACCAAACAATCTTTAAAGTACCCTACAGTAAAGAGTGAAACATCGTATTTAAGAATAAAGTAGGTTTAAGTGGTGATCCATATAGTGAGCACGCTGAAACTGCTTAATTTAGCTGCCACACAGGCATAATTCCTCTCTGACTGAGCCTATGGCTGAGTCATACACTTAAATTACTTCGGTTACCAGACACGCGGTTTTCAATTTCTGAAGCAGCAGCTTGACTCTAACCAAACATCAAGATTCTTAAATGGTAAAAGGAAAGACTGCTAACCAGGCAGGTCTTGAGATAATTTTTCTTTTCGTAGAACCACAAAGAATTTGCCCACTGGGGTAAAAGGCACCAAGACGTCAATTGAGAAAGATAATCGGGCAGCCTCTGCTTTCACACCTTTACAAATTGTTAACAGCTCATCTCAAGCTCTACTTGAAAGACTATAAATGCTGCTTTTATCTCAGCTCAATTCTTGTATTGAAAAGGAGTCTACACACTGATCCCTTTCAAGGACTTCAGAAGCACTGCCCTCCAAACCATTTTATGGGGTCCCTCTCAACACATCAATAAGTCAAAAAGCCGAAGAATCAACAAATCTTACCTCACAGCTGGTACCCAAGAAGTCATTGGAAAATCTGACCACCAGGCCGGCACCTGGTTTCCTGCGTCCCACTCCAGACCTACTCAGTCAGACTATCCGGGGATGGGGTCCGGGAATCTGCATTTTAAAAGGGCCGCACAAGATCTTGTTTTCTACTAGTTTAAGAACCACTGCTAAATCCGAACAGGTATCCTCCTTTAACCCCGTGCGGACGTTGATATTCACATGGGCCACCAACTCTCAATCAAGGAGCTTCAACTCTCTTAGGTCTTAGTTTCCTAAGTTTTCTGCAAAACGAGCACGGTACAGCAACTGGTACACGGTATATACTAAACTGTGCTTCCCATCTTACACTTATTTACATGCTGTGATTCAGCCTTTTCCAACCAGGCATCGCCGCGTCTCCTGAGTGGCCTGGAGCCGTTCCTTGGGAATAGAGCCCAGTCCTCATCTGGAGCCTCGGTGGCCCCACCTAGCAGAAAAGGGGTAGGGAAGCCAGGAAGAAGCCCGAAGTCCCCATTCCGCTTGAAAGGGATTCGACTTGTAGGCCACCCCGCGGGCTCCCTCGGCCCCCCTCAGGCTGGGCTCTGCAAGCCTCTGGCCCAGGCGACTAAGAACACCGGGCGAGTGCACAGACTGAGAACAGGCCTGGCGCTAAACCTCAAGTCAGACACAGCCCCCATATCCTCAGCGAGGAAGCTGGAGCCCAGGTCTCGCAGCCTGGCCAGGGCCCAGGCCACACTCACCTACCGACGCGCGGGAGGCGGGGCACCCTCTCCTCGGTAGCGCTCACCCTGAGCAGCCACCGCCAACGCCGCTGGCTCTTTGGGAAAAAAGGAAGAAAAGGAAAATAGCCTTTGCTTTTGTATTCCTTTTGACCCTTCAGGGCTTCCTGTTCCTCGCCGCCACAACAAAAGTCCACCCCGCTTCCGGCGGCGAAACCCAATCCGCACCTCTCTTCCTCCCCAGGAGTCCGATGGAAATCCGGTGCCCAGAAAGCCCGCGGGAGACACTTGATTGGGCCATTCACACCTCAGCCAGGGGATTGGCCAGCTCAGCTTGGAGGGCGGGCCGGGCCCTGAGGTCACGTGATAACGTTCAGGGACGATGATTGGTTGTCAGGGAGAGAGCTTGCTACCGAGAAAGGGGCGTTTCCTAGGGGACTGGAGGAGAGCCAAGGCGGTACGAAGCGGGGGTGGGCCCAGCACGTAATGGCATAGCAGTGGCCTCGCGTCCATCTTTAGCGCTCTGTCGGACCTGTCACAAAGGAGTCGCGCCGCCGCCGCCTCCCGTCTCTCGAGTGGACCCGGGAGCTGGAGAAAGTCAGTGCCGCAGCCCAGCCGCCGAGCCCCGGGAAGCCCCTGGGGACGCGGAGCGGAGGGGGGAAGTCCGAGGGCAGGGGACGTCGGTGAGGGAGGGGACAGACCCCGAGTCTGCGGCGGGGAAGCTGGACTGGGGTCTGGGAAGGCTCCGGGAAGGTACCGGGGAAGGGTGGCGTTTGGCAGAGCCCGGGAAACAGCCTGGAGGTTCTCCACGAAGGCCCGCGCTGAAGGCGCCTGAAGAGATTCCTGGAAGAGGGTGTTCCCCCTTTAGGGGGTGGTAGACTGGATGAGGTTCTCGGGGTGGCCCATCCCCAGAAGGCCGCGGCTAACGGGGCCCAGGTGAGGGGCAGGTAGCTCCCGAAGGCTGCTGATGTTTGAGTGCTCTCGGGGTTGTGCAGGGCGGAAGGGGTAGATGGGAGGACGCTTTGGGAGGGTTTCCTTTTGTGGAGTTTGAGGTTTAGGTGGCATCGGTGGGAAGCAGACATTCCCCCGGGAAACATAAAAATGCCTCGGGGTGGAGAGATGCCTCAGAGAGAGGGGCTAGGAGTCGGCAGCCGGAACTAGCGGATTCCCGTGCTCCGGAGGCCCGATGTGAAAAATGGGCAAGGGCCTTGTGGAGAGGGGATTGCTGGGCGGTCCTGGGAAGAAGACACCCCCATCCGTAGGAAAGCCTCGGTGAGGAATAGGGAGAGGGTAGCAGGAATGGCAAGACCCGGTGTCTTAAACACAGAATTCTGCTTCTAGGCGTAGTGAGGTGGGGTGGGGGAACTCCATTCCCACCGGTACTCCCTGCCTGACTCTGGATGAGGCTTTTGCCCCTACCTGCTGCCTCAGTTTCCCTGTCTTTGGGAGGTCGATCAAGGCAGAGTGGTCCACTGAGACCGCAGTTCTGTCCTTTCAGAATGAGGTTGATCTCTTTGGAGTGTTGTACTTTGAACTTTTAAGGGCTGAAAGAGTCTATTACTGACTGAGTAGAGTCCAGGCAGTTGTCCCAGCACCTCGCCTACCATCTACTTGTCCTTAGACAAGTGACTTATCCAGCTTAGGTCTCTCCTGTAAAATAAAGGCAGTGTGGAAAGTACGGGACAAACCACAAGCTGCGTGAAAGTCAAATACTGTGATTCTACCACCAAACGGCTTGCCGTTGAGGAATAAAAGTGAAGGTACTTTCTAAACTGTAAAACAGTATGTAGATGTAAGGGATTAGCGTTAATACAGTAGTTGTTGATTACCTTTGGAGTTCTGGGAGCCCTATTATACTGAAAGCTTTAAGGTTCACAGCTGTTTCCATCATATTACAATCTAAACCCAAGGTTTAAACCCCTGCTTAGATGGGGGTGGAGGGATTTCCAGTTTTTGCTCAGAGTTTTAATTTACTTAGAAATTCTGATGGTGCAGGCAGGAGGCAGCAGTATAATATAATCTTTTTCTTCAGGGAGTTTTTCCCTGACAGCTGAAATTTTCTGCCATTCAATTTCATCTCAGTAATGTAAACTACCTCTCCTTTTTTCATATATTCATGGCCTTTGGATGTCTAGAGGTAGGGAATCTTCCTTCCTCCCTCAGTTGTGATTTTGTAAATGAGACTTTTTTTTCCCCTCCATGAAAAGTATGCCTTCCTGTAGTAGTCCCAAACTGTAGATTTGCAATTGCTTTTAAATTCCTCTTCTACAATGGTTTTCTTTATTTTTTCACTATTTACAGAGTTTGCATTTCCTGGGATGACATCTTTCTTTGTAGCTCCTATATGAAGTTATAAGATCCTTCTGTCCAGGTATGACATTTTCCTGATGTTTAGTTAGTGGCATTTGTTAGAGCTGGTTTTCCAAATATTCAGTAACTTATTATTTTTGAAGTTTGTTGTTGCCGTTTTTAACAAAACGCTAGCTTGTATTTCCCATTTTTTTAATCTTACGTTTCATGGGTCTTTTTTTCAAAATCACTGTGGTGATTTTGTTAGCTTTCTGATTTCCCAGGAGACATGTTGTCCTGACCTGCTGCTTAATGTCTGTCTGTGACCTGCTTTTTGTTTTTGTTTTTTTCCCCACAAACCCTTCATTATTTCTGTACTCCATGATTATTTTTAAATTATTGATTATAGGAAGTGTTCCAGCATACTCTGTGTGGCCTTTTTCTGCTTTGTCAGCAAAATAACTTTTCCCATAGTAAACTGGCTAAGAATCAAGGGGAAATGAAGACGTAACGTTTTGTGTAATAGAACGCTACTCTAGTGAATAGGGGAAGACAGCAACTCTGAAGTATGTTTCAGCAAGAGAATCACAACAACAAAAGTTGCTGTGTGTTCCTGAAGCGCATTTACAACAGTTTATTTCAACTCATGAGCTTAATTCAGTCAGTCAAGAATTGCCTATACTTTCCCTAATAATGAAGTAATTTGTTATAATGAAATGAGACATCACTTTGCATCCTTAAAATACAGCTCTCTTCCGTAAATGCTATAGTTTGAGAAAGTATTGGGAATTCTTGAGGATGGTAATCACTATTACACTACTTTAAATTGGAGACTTTCTGTTTTGCGGTGGATATGATAGCCACAGGGTTGCACCCCAGATGGGAACCACAGCGGAACCAGTAATCTATTTCAAAAGAGTTATTTGGGGGTAGTAAACTATCAGTTTAGCTTCTCTCAAATATTTGACATTTTCAAGGCATTTATTATTGAATTTGGACAGTTCCCCCCACCCCCGTAGTCAAATTAGAAGATTGAAAGAATAGTCAGGAAGTAGTGAATGCCAGAACTTGGGCCATAGCCTTTAGGAAGAGACTCACAAGTTTTAGGAGTATAAGAGAAAGAATATGTTCCCTTTGGTTTATCTATTCAATAAGTCAGCTTTTGAAATAGTTATCTTGCCAATCTTTATGATCAGAAAAAAGTACAATATTTGTTATAGTTTACTCTGTGTCCATTCCAAAAAGCAATGCTTGCTGGTTAAATATATAAAGCATATTTAACTGTGGATAACTGTGTGATATATACAAGACTAAATGAGGTAAAGTTAATCTTAAACTGGTGGACTCTTAGGGGATATTCCCCTTTCTCCCTTTATGAGCTTTTGAAAACTAAGAGTGCATTTGAGATAGCAAAGAATTGATGCACTCCTTAAGTTTGTTAAAGAATGAACCCTGCTTGTAGCTTTCTTGTTGCTTGAAATTATAGTTTCCAGGCATAATTTTATGGGCCCTATACACATCAAATAGAAGGTTTGAAATACCTTACTTGGCCAGTTTATTATTACCTCCTAGTTTAATGTTGCAGGGTCAGCGTATTCTTACCCCTTGTACCTTCTGAAGAGTCATGGATTCTCCTCTGTACTCCCTGGATGCACTGATTCCCGAAGTCTGACTCCTACCCTGCCCCACCTTGTGGGAAGAGCAGGGCCTTTTTTCCATTCTTACTGCTCCGTAGTTACTCATATTTACATGTGCCTAAGGGCTACTTATTCATAACTTACTAGGTGAATTATTAAGGATTACTAAACTATGGTGTTCATAAACCAAAACTAGTACATTGGAGTTTACTGTTGTCTAACACCTTTTCCTCCCAGCAAGCTTGTTTTGGGAAATTTGGCACCAGCGCAGAGCTTTTTCTGTGTCATATGCAGAACGGGGATTCCTGCAGTCATCAGGAGCAGTGCTTATTTTCCATTGTGT